TGTCAATGGTCCTCAGGACTCTGGCCTGAGACCTGTCTTGTTTACCGTATATATAAACCATGTTGATAGAACACTCAAGTGCAACATTACCATAGTAGTCAATGGTCCTCAGGACTCTGGCCTGGGACCTGTCTTGTTTACCGTATACATAAACCATGTTGATACAACACTCAAGTGCAACATTACCTAGTTTCCGATGATACAAAAATCTACATTGAAATAAATTAAGAAAAACATAAAATCGTTACAAGAAGTCTTAGGCTTTTAAAATTTAATAAAAGATTTGCATATGCTGGTCAATATTGGCTATACTCAGTTTAATATTACTTTGGCTTTCCATTAAGTGACTGGAGAGGAAGGTCTCATTTTGATCATTTTCTCACTGATGATGACCTAACTGGTTACATCTGAGGGTATAAGACTCAGTGATTGTGACAACCTATCCTGATATTTTCCTGTCATAGACACCTTCGCTATACCTCACTATCAAACTGTTGCTCCTGACAGTGAGAACAGTAACCAACCTTAATACATTTAACCTGGGAGAAAGTCACTATTGCTAACCTGCATAAGTTTGGAGTGCCTGCTTCACGGAAAACTTTATAATATTCCATATATCAACTAATGTAACTTTCTGCATTAGTTGCAGAAAGTTGCATCATCAGTGCATCTATCCATCAGTGAAATTTCCATCAAAACAGTTTCAATGACAATTTTTGGCCATCTGTCATGTCAGTGCTAGTTAAGGAAGGGGGGAGAGAATCCTTCTAAAAAACAAATAGAGGACGTAGGCCTGGTTGAAATTGCCACGTTAAAGAATTCCAAATTACATCTGTACTCACCTAGTTGTGCTTGCGGGGGGTTGAGCTTTGGCTCATTGATCCCGCCTCTCTACTGTCAATCAACTGGTGTACAGATTCCTAAGCCTACTGGGCTCTATCATATCTACATATGAAACTGTGTATGGAGTCAGCCTCCACCACATCACTGCCTAATGCATTCCATCTGTTAAATACTCTGACACTGAAAAAGTTCTTTCTAACGTCCCTGTGGCTCATGTGGGTACTCAGTTTCCACCTGTGTCCCCTTGTTCGCGTTCCACCAGTGTTGAATAGTTTATCCTTGTCTACCCGGTCGATTTCCCTGAAGATTTTGTAGGTTGTGATTATGTCTCCCCTTACTCTTCTGTCTTCCAGTGTCGTAAGGTGCATTTCCCGCAGCCTTTCCTCGTAACTCATGCCTCTTAGTTCTGGGACTGGTCTAGTGGCATACCTCTGAACTTTTTCCAGCTTCGTCTTGTGCTTGACAAGGTGCGGGCTCCATGCTGGGGCCGCATACTCCAGGATTGGTCTTACATATGTGGTGTACAAGATTCTGAATGATTCCTTACACAGGTTCCTGAAGGCTGTTCTGATGTTAGCCAGCCTCGCATATGCCCCAGACGTTATTTTTTTATGTGGGCTTCAGGAGACAGGTTTGGTGTGATATCAACTCCTAGATCTTTCTCTCTGCCCGTTTCATTAAGTACTTCATCTCCTATTCTCTATCCTGTGTCTGGCCTCCTGTTTCCACCGCCTAGTTTCATTACTTTGCATTTACTCGGGTTGAACTTCAACAGCCATTTGTTGGACCATTCACTCAAGCTGTCTAGGCCTCCTACTATCATCCTCTGTTTAAATCCTCCTCATAATTTTTGCATCATCAGCAAACATTGAAAGAAAGGAGTCTATACTCTCTGGGAGATCATTTACATATATCAGAAACAGTATAGGTCCAAGGACTGATCCCTGCGGGACTCCACTTGTAACGTCTCGCCAATCTGAGACCTCACCCCACACATTGACTCGTTGTCTCCTGTTACTTAGGTACTCCTTTATCCAATGGAGTACCTTCCCTTTCACTCCAGCCTGCATCTCCAGCTTCTTCACTAGCCTCTTGTGTGGTACTGTATCAAAGGCTTTCTGGCACTCCAAAAATATGCAATCTGCCCATCCTTCCCTTTCTTGCCTGATTTTTGTTGCCTGGTCGAAGAATTCAAGTAATCCTGTGAGGCAGGACTTACCATCCCCGAACCCATGTTGATGCTGTGTTACAAAGTTCTTTCGCTCCAGATGTTCCACTAGCTTTCTTCGCACAATCTTCTCCATCAGCTTGCATGGTATGTAGGTTACGGACACTGGTCTGTAGTTCAGTGCCTCCTGTCTATCCCCTTTCTTGTACAGTATATCGGGAACACGTTAGCTGCTTTCCAAATTTCTGGCAGTTCCCCTGTTGCTGTAACAAGAGAGCAGTACATAGTAGTACAACATGAACATCATAACAGCATGAACAAGCCACAGGCGCGGCGCCAGTCAGGCGGCGGCAGACAATGGAAAAAGTTACACCTAGGTACCAGTTAACCAGGAGGACTGGTCAGCGGTCACCGGGTCACGAGGAGATCAGAGTTGATGCCGTCATGATAATCTTCAGGGATTAACCCCTAAACATCAAATGCAAAACCCTCATGTTCAACTGGGGAGCAAAAGATCATTCTACAGACAGTAGTGTGGGCGCAGCCCAGGAGGACGGTGTGTGTGGACTCGGGGAAGGAACATCATCTCCAGGAAAACTGTGGAACAACATACGAGTAAGTACGGCTCTCTGGTACTAGAGCACCTCATTCAGTACTCTTGGCCTCTAGTAGGGAATATAGATAGGGAGTGTCTTATTTAATTATTTCAAATAAAGTCATATATTGTTAAGTGTTATTAAATGTGTATTAATGGTTCCTTGCCTTAGTGATATTGGGCCTACCGTCCCCCTTTGCCCCAGTGACCTAGTGTCCTTAATTACCCCGTTCGTCTTCCGTGTTAAGGTGTTAGTATTGGGTGTGTCCCGCCTTATTCTTGTGTACTCTATAGTTCCCAAGTGGTCAGGATTATTCGAGTGTCAGGCCAGGATCCTTGTACCGTTCAATTGTCCCCTACCCCTGTCCTGGTAGGTTATTCCATCTGCAAGACCTACGAACCTCACTCCGGTCCCCTGTCCGGTAACTCAGGGTGGTGGCAGCGTCACTCGGTAACTCATACGATAGGCTGTGACTACGATTATCTCTATCTTTCTGTCTCACTCTCCCTCACTAGTGTCTCACTCTCCCTCGCCCTCACTCGCTCTCGTTCTCGCTCTCGCTCTGCCACACACACACACACACACACACACACACACACACACACACACACACACACACACACACACACACACACACACACACACACACACTCACACTCACACTCACACTCACACTCACACACACACACACACACTCACACTCACACTCACACACACACAC